CTGGCCATGGCCAATCCGGGGAATGACTGCTATGCCAATAGCGCTTTTGTGAGTTTGATCTGGGCCACATTATCCAGATCTGCTTTTGTCTTTCAAGACTGGGGCGCACGATCAGCCATCCTCCAACAGACCCTTGAACTTGCAGATGGGACCCTTTTCTCATTGGAAAATGCTTCATGGTTTCAGCACTTATTAGAGGGTTGGAATGAGGATGGGGAGCAGGCTGACAGTGCGGAGTTTGCACATATGTTGTCCAGCTGGACTGCAATGCCTGCCATTTCCAATTGCTGGGAGCGCCGTGTGCAGACAGAACAAGGCCTTGTGCTCCATGATGCAGGTGACAAATTCATGCCATTGACACCGCAATTTGATCCCCAACTGGTAGATCACCATGAAATCCAGCTGTCCACATTGCTCAGGACGTGGCACACCGAGCTTGGCATGTTGGCTGGTCTTACGGACCCTGAGGACCTGCTTCTTTTACATGTGGATCGCATGATACATGCTCCTGATGGCACCGTCGTCAAGTGCCAAGCAGCCCCCAGGTTTGGATGGGAGGTACAGATACCAGTGCTGGGGCCCCATGCATGCACATGGATGCCATACACAGTGATTGCCTGCATCGCTCATCTGGGAGGTGCACACAACGGTCACTACCAGGCCCTCCTGCGTACCTACCCGGAGGTTTCAGATTTGGCCAGCCCCTCAATGTGGATGCTTTGCGATGATGGACATTCTCCACAACGTATCCTGAACGTCCCTGAGATTTTTGCACAGGGCATCACGTGCCTATGGCTGTGCCAGACGAGCAAGGCCGACTTTCATCGATTGGCGCCGAGCCGTGACACAGCTGGCATCGACGACGCTGATCTTTTGGCCCTTTTGGCCACACAGCCCGATCCAGAGCCGTGACCATGTTCCCTTTTTGCATTTCACCCCTGCACCCAGCCTCCTCGGCTGGCTTGTCCCCCAGTGGCCCCTGTACACGCCCTCTGAAGCCCAGAGTGTACCCCAGCCCCAAAAAAAAAAGGAGAGAAGGGCCACAAAAAGAAGCCAAAAAAAAAAAAAAAAATCATTCGTCTCACCATGGAATCCAACGCGGCTAACTCCCCTTGTGGGTCGCCCAGCGATTCTGACATCAGGAACTGGCCGGTCACAGCACCCTTTTGGTGTTGCCAATGCCCCAACGCGACACTCGGACATGTTGGAATTTTTAGTGAGTTCACTTGGATGCACAAATCTTCGGCATTTTGCTAAGGCCTAGTAGGCGACCACAAATTTCCATCTGGCATTTTGCCAACGTTGATGTTGCTACACCACCGAGGGTGCCTGTCTTCTGGTTAGCGAACCTTTGGCGTTCTCCAATCGGCATTTTGCTCAGGCCTAGTCGGCGCTTCTACCCAATTCAGTCGGATGGCCTTTTGCCACAGAACTTCCATGCTTGCTGGTTGTGGTTGCTTTGCTAGCCCACATTGATGCCATGTAGTTACCCCACCATTGCCTGCCGGATTTTACATCGGACACTGAGTCATTTCAACCTGCCATGGGACACGATGTTTCAATGCCACTGCATGCTGCCAGCCCCCATGCACCCAGTTGCCCAAACTGGTAGATCCCCGACCCCGTTTTCAGGCCCCCTGTATCCCAGGGTGTACCCCCGGTGTCACATAAACTGGTCCAAGAGGCATAGCCCAACGTTTCAAGATGGCCAGTATAAAAAAAAACAATCTGTTGCTTCTCAATTAGTGAAGTCTCACCATGCGGTGACCAACGTGACACCTGTCCAGAGTCACATAGGCCAACTGAGACCTCAAGCCATGCCGTAGCTTGACCGAGTAACATGAGCTGCCACATCTTTTCCCGCCTGATGTGGTAGGCTGCTACGGTGCGTAGGGACTGCTTCTCACAAAGAGAACCAGATGTTTAAATGAAACATCTGTAGGGCTAGCGCCGAGTCTGACTTCAGAAAAAGGAGCGTGGAAAAAAACACACACACACACGCACACGCACACGCACACGCACACGCACACACACACACGCACTCGCACTCACACACGCACACACACACGCACACACACACACGCACACACACCCCGAACTGCCTCGCGCTGCCAGGTGATAAGAAGGAGAAAGGAGCGCCCACCTTGCACCTTCTTTGACAAGACCCGCTTGAGCGTGCCTGATGACTGCAAGCAGGCGCAAGGTGGACAGCACGCTGCGGGACGCTAAAGGTCGGGAGAGCCGTTTTGCAAGCGCGCAAGCATGCACACTAGCGGACATGGACATCTAACAAAGGAACTTAAAGGAACACCGAAGCCCTTGCATGAACAGTTCGTTGTGAGAAGATTTTGCGGAGTCCTGTTGAAACCTCACTGATAGGCTCCTGCATCAAGATCTTGAAGATGCTCTGCAGTGAGGGTGCTGTCTGAAAAGTTTCCTGGGATGCTTATAGGAAGTTCTTGTACGAAGATTTTGCATCTGGGAAGATTCGCTCTGAATGGTTCTTCTTGGACGCTATTGTTTAAATTGAATGCAAGCAGGTGCAAGGCGGACGGCACGCTGCGCACGCCGAAGGTCGGGAGAGCCGTGCTGCACATGCGCGGGCCCACGCCGTCGAAATGCAAATGGACATCTGACAAAATCGGACGATAGCTAGGTGGAAACCCCAAGGAGCCAGTCTTTCAGAAAGGTTCCGGATTCCGAAGCACCAAAGAAAACCCCGGAGCCTTTTCTGCTCTGCGCAGCAAATCAGTGGGAATATTGCAGATGCATCAACGCATGTGAGGCCCGAGGTCAAACAGGCCGCGCAACAATGGGGAAGGGATCAAGCAGCAGGAGCACAAATGCGTCGCTGGAAGGGTTGTGCAGGAGTCAAACGCTGACCGAGAGTTGCACACATTGCACGAATATTGCCTTGCAAGTTTTCACCACAGGCGTTGCGACTATGGTTGCCAGCTGATAAGAGAGCGTATTTACACCTATCATTTGCTTTTTCCACCATGTAGTGGGCAATTGCCAAGCGAAGCTGTGATGCGATGAGATCAGATGAAGTAAGACAAGATCCAGCCTTGGAGAGAGATGGCAATGGAATGAAATGCCAAGAGATGGTTGCAGCCAAGCACCGACGTATACCGGCACCCTGCAGGCACAGTTTTTGTGCCACACTCGAGGCCATACGCGAGAGCATGAGTGGAAGCAGATGATGTAGGTCACATAGGCGAACTTACGACTGTTGCGTGCCTACATATAAGTTTCACAATTTGTTTTTCCCAAGCTGCGTGTCCACACTGAGGGGTTCCTACGGTGGGCCCCGGCATGTTTCTTGTAAATTTCTGTAAAGAGTGGCTCTTGTGATATCTTGACATGCGTTTCGACTGCACAGGCTCGCACAAAGTGTGGGTCGCGGTTCTGGGCCCCGGCATTTTTTCTGCAAATTTCTGTCTAAAGTGGCTCTTGTGAAATGTTCAAATGCGTTTCGATGCCCAGGCTCGCACAAAGTGTTGGTCGCGGTTCTGGTCTGCGACATTTTACCTGTAAATTTCTGTATAAAGTGGTTCTTGTGAAATCTTGACATGCGTTTCGACCGCGCAGGCTCGCGCAAAGTGAGTGTGGGTCACGGTGTTCTGGTCAATGGCACTTTTCCTGTTAATTTCTGTATAAAGTGGCTCTTGTGACATGTTGATGTGCATTTCGACGGCGCTGGCTCGCACAAAGTGTGCTTCCCGGTCTTTGGATCGGTCTTCCTCCTCAACATCATCCTCCTCAACATCATCATCGTCGTCCTCGTCAACATCAACATCATCACCTTCCCCTCCCTTGACATCATCATCCTCAACATCACCATTCTCCACCTCATCTTCCGCAACATCATGATCATCCACCTCATCTTCCGCAAAAATTAAAAAATCCTTGTCATCATCCTCCTCCTCAACATTTTCCTCCTCAACATCATCATCTGCCTCCTCCTCTACATCACCATCCTCCACCTTTTCACCCTCCACTTCATCTTCCGCAGTATCATTGTCATCCTCATCATCCTCATCATCCTCATCATCCTCATCATCTCATCATCATCCTCATGATCCTCATCATCCTCATCATCCTCATCATCATCCTCATGATCCTCATCATCCTCACCATCCTCGTCATCCTCACCACCATCATCACCCTCACCCTCACCATCATCATCACCATCATCACCATTCACCCTCCTCAACATCATCATCTTCCTCCTTCTCTGCATCATCATCCTCCAACTCATCATCTTCCACTTCATCTTCCGCATTGTTGTTATCATCCTCATCATCATCGTCATCATCATCAACATCATCATCATCATCATCATCCTCACCATCATCATCATCATCCTCCTCATCCTCGCCGTCATCGTCATCATCATCATCATCATCATCATCATCACCATCACCATCGTCTTCATCATCATCATCATCATCATCATCATCATCATCCTCATCAACATCATCATGAATCACGATCATCATCATTATCATCATCATCCTCATCCTCATCTTCACCATCATCATCAACATCAACATTTTCACCAACATCATCATCAATATTAATATCATCATCAACACTATAATGCATGATCCTTTTACTCCCCCAAACTGTTTGGGGTCTCTTGCCGGGATAATTTATAGCGCTTGCGTGGCAAAACAGCTGTGTGTTATTTCACGTCCACATGCCAATGTTGCGGCCATGTTGGATCGAAACGGTCCATTTGCACGATTTTGGGCCGATCTGCAAAACGTGCAAATTACCACAATCCCGTGCACTTTTTGGCGCCCTGCTTTGTCGAAAATGCTCCCCGCCCCCAGCTGAAACGGTACCAGTCTGACAGATCTGTCCGTATCACTCGCTGCTAAAATACCACGCCTCGGCACCTTCGGCGGGCGGATTTACCCCATTTACCACAGTATCGTCGACATCACTGTCTTATTCATCTGATTCATTTTGCTTTTTCACCTAGTTTCCCGGAGGACGGCAACATGGTCCAGTGGCGGCCGCGAGATGAACGATGTCCTCCGCTCGGTGTCAGCTGGGATCTTACTGACCTTGGAAATCAACAGACAGCGGTGCTGCGGTGCTGCAGTGTTTTGGACATGTCCAAAACTGTAATTAGTTTGTGAAAACCTGGCTTAGAACAACTTTCTTCACAGTCATTGATGGTGCTGATTGGGTGTTGGGGAACCCAAACTGTCAACAAACTTAGAAATCACAAGAGCGCCTTGTAATAATATCTTTATTCCAACTCAACACCAGATAGTTGTAATATGTTGTAATGTTTTGAAGTCAAACAACTTTTATTGCGCCGTGCCCAGGGGAAGGCGGTTGCTGAGCAGAAGGCGTTACAAGCACTTCTGCGCTTTCCAATAAACTTCCTGTGCTTCCAAAACCCAATACGTTTGCAGGTTTTCTATGCGTTTTTGATTTGTGAGACTTTGCTATGTCCCAAAAATAATTCTTGAACCATTGATGAGAAGATCTGCTGCTTCGCAAAATGCGTTTGTGGCCACAACCACTTCGTTCAGGTTGCTGCAAGTGGTGTTGGAGCTGGGGCTGTGAGTTTCTCAGACCGTCTAGGAATGATCGCGTTGCTTTCCTCAAGATGGTGTTCAACATTTTGCACAATGCTGAGTACTGACAGCACATATGTTTTTGCAACAGCCTGTCACTGTTTGGATCGTTCTTTTGGCCTCCATCATTGTAGATGGAGCATCTGACGTCTGAGCAGAGGTTCACTATGACTGAATTCACTATATGTTAATTGGCACATTTGGCCCGAACTATTGGCTAAGCATCGCAAAGCATCGCCAAGCATCGCCAAGCAGCAATCCTAGGTCACCCCAGAGGAAGCAATGCAGCGGCTTCTGCAGGCTGCAGGCCCTGGTGCAGGCGTGAGATGCATCAGTGAGATGCGGGCGGACGGAGCTCAGTTGCTGGGAGCCAGGCTCTCCACCGCCAGAAGTAGTTGGGGCTGCGTTGAAAGCAAGATGCTCAGGCTGACTCAGGAGAATTTTCATTGCAGATACTGTGATCCCACGCTCAACAATCATTGAACTGCGCAAGATCCTGTACTTCACTGTACTTTCTTGCTGTGCCAGCTGTACAAGCGATAAAACCACTAATCCTCTGGATTCCCAGTGTGGTTGGAACGATTGGGGCATTGATTAGACATGATTAGACTCTGAGAGCCACTGAGGCCACCAACGTTGCCCCAACCGCCGAGAATGTTCGGCGAGCATTAGAGATGGCCCTTGGAGGCGTGCAAGGCTAAGATCAAACTACGATCAAACGCATTGAACATATATTGAACACCTTAAGGTAGATTACATAGTGTCTTAATGTGTCTTACCTTAGTAACTTACTTGTTCCATCTTGTTCCTACTTGAGTCTCATGATGTCCTGACAGCAGACCGTGAAACACTGAACTTGCAGTCTGAGGCTGCTCCAACGGCTGCGCAAGTGGCAACGGCGATGCGGACAGTCTGGCCTCCTAGAAATCCTAGAGTTTATGTTATCTAGCCGAATCTAGCCCGAGTTAGATTTTGTTCAAGTTTTTTGGATGCACGTGCTTTGGAACATTTTGGAACACTGTCTTCTCTTGAAGACTTGATGCATCTTGATGCCAAGCTGCTTGACCAAGCTGCTTGAGGCCACTGACGGCCTGCCTGACGACTTCTTTGAAGCTCCGCCTGCAGGATTGGATCACGAGTAACTCGGAGTTACCTGCAGGTTGAAACCGCTGAGTTTTGGTTTCGGTTTTCACGAGATGTTTGAAAACTGGTTTCGGTTTTGGGATTCTGCAGATTCTGCAGATTCTGCAGTCGGGCTCACGAGACCATCCTGATGCATTTTCACTTGGGAGGAGCTGATGTTCCAGGTTCTATTCCCAAGCTTCATCCTTACTTGGAAAGGTGGTCACAAGATGTCACAAGAAAATTGGCTCCGTCACATTGCGAAGCCAAAGACTTGGACGAGTGACTGCACTGCTCGAGGCCAACCACACCTGAGGAGGTCGTTGAAGTCTTGAAGATGGTTCGGCCCCAAGTGACTCACGGACTTGCAGCCTTCGAGCTGCCCCACTTGTTACAGTCAACTATAGAATGCGTTCGATTCCACAGTCTTAAGATCACAAGGTACTGTAAGTGATGGAATTTTGGTGGCAAGGCAGCAGGCCCTTCTGCAGGGCAACCTCCAGCCGACGTGGTGGGCACAGCCTTGAGAAGGGCAGGTCTAGAGATCACAGCGGAGAACGTGCTGCGGGCCTTGAAGGTGTGCCACTGAAGCTGTTGGAACTGAATTTCTAACTGATTTTCTAACCATTTCCAAACATTTCTGTTTAGCCAATTGTAGATCTTCGCACACCGGCGATTCCATAAGGGTCATGTCAGTTATGTTGGTGTTGTGAGTGTTGGTGTTGATCACGTGCTTTGCGCAGGCACGCGCCAATAGCCCCGTACTCTAAGCACGTTCTTAGCGCGCAGAGCACAACGAAATATTCTTGACACACCACAGCTTCTAACCATTTTCCCAAACATCTTCTTGTCTGATTTTTTGTGTGCCCCAAAATCATCATAGAGTCTGTGTTTTCATTGTAATTTAAGGACTTTCTGGTTTCGGAACAAAACGCAACGTAAATATCGATGTTTTTGAAGACCTGGAAGGGAAAAAACCACAGTATTATTTACGATGTTTCTATGTGGTAACCAGGTATCAAGAATTACGGTATATGTAGGTTCGTCAATCCTGCCAAGATGCGGGATGCAGCCAGGCGGCAAACCCTGGTGCTGGTGAGCCCTCCTCGAAGGAGCTGTGTCTGTCATGTGGCCGTGGCCCGTTGCCCGGCCCTGCCATTTTGGAACCACGCAGGACTTGGGTGATGCGCTGAAAGCTGCCATGGCTGAACCAGGCCCTGCAGGCTACGGCGTGGGCCCCACGTCCTCGCAGCTGCCAGGGGCAAGTGCGCAGACTGGCGCGGGTGTGCCGCCCGCGGGTGTGCCGCCCGCGGGTGTGCCGCCCGCGGGTGTGCCACCGGTTGCGATGCAAACGCCCGAGGAGGCTGAGCAAAATAAAAACAACATATGTGAAAAATGGAAAGCGTGGAAACTGAAATCAAAGCAACCTCTTCAGCGTTCGACTGTTGCTTTCACTTGGTGTGAATTAACTGGGATGCAGGTCGTTCGGGCCTTATTGCAAATTGCTGGTGCTGACGCGGGCCAACCACCACCTGAAATCCTGGGGACAGCTTTACAAGCTTCAGGCAGGGACATCCTTCACATTGAATGTTTGCAAGTTGAAGTTGGACCTGTCAACCACTGCTACTACATTTATTCCGTTCCCACTTGGAACTCAAAGAATTTCCCTGCAAGGTCTGCCAGTGACACGGGACAATGTGTTGCGAGCGCTGCGTGCTGCTGGCGTGGGAGGTGGCTCCCCGACCGAGGAGGAGTCCGAAAAAGTCCAGAAGTGTCGGTCGTTGATTTCAGATGGCCACAACATACCACAACTATCCATCCTGCAGGATGTGCAGAAGTGCCTTGCGGGAGCACAGGCACCAGCAACTGCTCAGCCAGCTGCACCAGCAACACCCGAGGAGGCAAGGGCAACAGGAGTGCCAAGTTTGACGGTCGCAAATGTTTCAAGGCCCCTTCGGTTTATCGGTTTATTATGGAACATATGGAACTCCCTTCGCATATTCAGCGTATTCTTTTCATGTTCCATGGCTCCGTCAGGTGATTTTCGCATTACGCATGGCGGCTGGCCCTGGTGCTGGTACGCCACCTCCAGAAGTCGTAGGTGCAGCTTTGCATCAGGCGAAGGTGCTTCATGGACTCCGTGGGCTGAGATCCAAATTGTTTCTTGAGGACGAGGACATTGTGAGTCTTAATGCCTGTTTTTTGAAGAACCCGACATACTTGAGGTAGAGATGAAGAATAGAAGACTGCCCACAGGTTGCAAAGCTTTCTGCAGTGAAGATATTGCTCTTCAGCATGTGACCTGAGAATTTTGTTGTATAGGTGTCTGCTGCCAAATAGCCTTTTTGACAACGAAGAAATGACAGATGCATACAGATGCTTCAATGCAGTTTTTTGGTCATTCACGATCCTGACTCCTGACAGTCAGCGATGATTTGGTTCTTCCATGTTCTTTCTGGAGAACCTGGAGAATGAAAAGTGGCTCCAGGGATCCAAAACTGCAAGTAGCACCGAAGTGTACTGCCGCAGGTGTCGCCACTTAGTGCTGAAGCGGTTGTCCGCGCTTTGAAGGAGGCGCTTTCGCCGACGAATCAGCAGTCACCACGTGGGGCCTTTGCTATCCGAATGCCTCGCTTGCACGCTGCAATGTGCTACATTTCAGACAAGTACCAATCAGTACTGTACGTGTGTTCATGTAATACATATTACATGATTATATTGCTGCATTCTGTATGCATATACAGCATTGTATGAATGGATATCGAAGGATCCTACATATTGACCGAACAATGACTAATGACCATGTCAAGCCCCAAATTAGAAACCACCTGAGCACGGAAATAAACATGTTTTCTTCCATGTGTTACAACTTGTTACAACTTAAGATTTCCCTTCTTGGTCATATCAGTAGATCTGAACCTAACGACCCTAGACGAGTTCTGTTTGAAAAAGGAACCTTAATTAATTCCCAGGCTCGAATTTCGTAAACGTCCCGGAAAAACTCGGCACCAGTGGTTATCTATGCTGATGCCGCTGACGCCTATCAAACTCTCAACCACACCCATTTGACAGCGACAACGCTGCGCACAGACAGCTAGTCAACGACCTAGCTCCCCAGAAAATGGGATTCTTTTCATGATTCAGCCCTAAAAATTGTCACCGAAAAGCATATGGCATAGGGCTTCTGTGGCCCACCAGCATGCTCCATCGTATTTGGATTTATCATTTCATTTTCTCTATTTCTATTCAAATTCCAATCACGTCTCCACTACTTAAGGCTATGACAATGCGCTGCAAGGTAAAGATAGATTTCACTCCTGGGCACAGTTTTTGCTCGTTTTGCTGGATTCTGCGCTCAGCTTGGTTGGCCTGCGCTTGTGAAAGAAAACAGCATTCCTCCTGAGCGTTTGGGCATTGGCGTGTGCAACTTCAAGTGTCGTCCTTCTGCTTTTGCGGGTCAATGTTGGAAGAGTATTCAATTAGACGACATCATAGCGGGGAGCAGCATTGTTTGGCACCGATGCAATACACGCGTCACCAAGAATTTCCTCCACTTCTCCGACATTTTAAGTTCGAGCTACCGTCTTTACCTTCTTTTCTGAGACTTATCACGAAAGCTAGCTTCTGCTAGTTGAAGTCCCTCTTGCTTAGCAAGGTAGTATTGGGGGGGCTTCAATCTCTAATCGCATGAAACTTCAGACTTAACGTAACTACCCCCTCCCTCTTCCCCCCCCTGGCTGGCTGGTTCACAAGCAGTTTGGCTGTGGCTGAATCCTCCCTGAGGACACTCCTGGCATGGTGCCACTGGCAGCAAATTCGGCAGCATCCGCATCCTCAGCATCATTGTGTTTTCATGCCATCCCTGCCAAGCTAGCTTTCGTCCCTTACCCCTGGGCCTCAAGTTAGAGCCCTTTGGAGGAAGTACTTGCTATATATATATATAATATTTTGCTACCAAGCTTGAACTGGCGACTGCCACAGGCTGGACACACATCTCCGTCTCCCGAAGTCGTGCAGGTGGGCTGATTTGGGCCAGGAATCGATTCTCTACAGGAGTCAGCAAGACGACATTGCATAATTCAGCTCCAAGATGATTTGTAAATGGCATCACGCAGAATTCTGCGCATGCTTTGTGTCTTTATGTTTTTTTCCTGGTTCAGAGTTCGGGATCTTTGGGATCAGGCTGCGTTGCAAGCTGCTGTCAGTGGCCAGCTGCCAAAGGAGCTGCAATGATGTTGCCGAGGTGGGGGCAATGTTCACTGCAGGCATCAGCCAGGCATCAGTAAGAGGTGGTTGTGTTGCAACATGCCAAAGTTTTAGTCTGCCCGAAGAGGGTCACTTATTTTCTTAATCTTAATCGAAGGAAGTTTAGAAGTCAAACTTCCGACAATATGGACAGATGAAAAGCAGAGTACGGCAGAGGCAGAGAGAAGAGAAAGATTAGAAGAGAGAAGAGTAGAAAAGAAAGAGTCAGAAGAAAGAAGATGCAGATGCGCGAAAAGGTAGGGAAGTCGCGAAACACTGTGTTTTTCCAATGATTTGTGGCTCGGTAGGGTCGAAAAGTAGGCTCGCTAAAGCGGCGGGTGCGGAGCCAGCTGGCCAGATGAGAGATGAAAAATTGCACGCCGTTGTGGCGCAAAGCACATTTCCAAGTCAAAATGTACAAAGCACACCATTGTCGGACCACTTTTGGAAGGTGAGATGTCGAAAAAGTGCGCGCCGTTGTGGTGCGAAGCACATTTCGAAGTCAAAATGCATTGTCAAAAGTGAGCAAATCGTGAGGGTTTTGTAGCATTTTCAACTACAACCACCACTACACCACACTACACTCCAATACATTGCACTACACTACAACTACAACTACACCTTCACTACATTCTACTACACTACACTCCACTACACTACACTGCACTCAATTACACTCAATTACACTCAATTACACTCAATTACACTACACTACACTACATTACACTACACTACACCTCACTACACTACACTACATTACACTACACTACACTCCACAACACTACAACTACAACTACACAACTACACTCCACGACACTCCACTACACTCCACTACACTAAATTTCACTCCGCTATACTAAATTACACTACACTACAGTACATTACACTACACTCCACTACACTACACTACACTACACTACACGACACTACCTTCCACTACACTACACTACATTACACTGCACTACACTACATTACACTGCGCTACACTCGACTACTACATTGCACTACACGACACTACCTTCCACTACCTTCCATTACACTTCACTACATTACACTACACTACACTCCACAACATTACAACTACAACTGCACAACTACACTGTACTACACTCCACTACACCAAATTACACTACACTACGCTACATTGCACTACACTCCACTACACTACACTACACTACATTACACTACACTACACGACCTTCCACTACACTTCACTACATTACACTACACTATACTCCACTACACCACAGCTACAGCTACAACTATAACTACACTCCACTACACTCCACTACACTCCACTACACTCCACTACACTAAATTACACTACACTACTTCATAACATTACACTACATTACACTACATTCCACTACACTCCACCACACTTCACTACATTACACTACACTACATTACACTGGATGACATCGCACCACAGATAGACAGATAGACAGATAGACAGATAGACAGATAGATAGATAGATAGACAGATAGACAGCTAGACAGATAGACAGATGAAAGAGAGAGAGAGAGAGATAGATAGATAGATAGATAGAAAGATAAATAGCTAGAAAACTAGACAGCTAGATAGATAGGTAGATAGATAGATAGGGAGATAGACAGACAGATAGATAGATAGGTAGACAGATAGATCAGTAGGTAGGTAGGTAGATGATCAGAGAGAGATAAAGAAACAGAGAGAAAAAGAGAGAAAGAGAGAGAAAGAGAGGAGACCTCAAGCACCTTTCAGTCCATCAGTGGCTTCGCTCTGCCATCCCTGATTCGCGACAACCAGCCTCTCCTATAGGTTTCCTATTTTTGAAACTTCCGCCACCGCTTTGTGCGGTACTACTGGTAGCCCTGTGTTTCCTTTGTTTTCAGTTTATATGATATATAAAAATATGAAAGTGTTGAATCATACATGGTGGACTGCGGTCATTGAGATGGACAGAGATTGGCGTCGAGAAAGGTCAGTTTCTGAGGATGAGAATGAACGATGTGTGAGATCACTCAGGACTTGGAAGTCCGCTCGTAGGTTAGGTGATATGGTCCTATTCCTATTCAGAGCTCAGAAGATTGAGAAAAAATGTTTCGATATGTTTCGATTTATCTTCTTTGCTGAAGTTCTGAAGATTGAAAGTCCAAAGGGCATAGGACAAATTGATACAGCCCAAAGTGGCTGCCATTTTGCCGTGCTCGCGCCATTCTGGTGGTGAACACATGTGCCAATGCTCGCGAAAAATCGCCCCTTCCATGCCACAGTTGCAACAAAATTGGCTAAGAACTTATAGTCACACTTCAAGATGCAGTTTTTGGAAATGTTTATGTTTCGGAAGCATGAAGAAAAGGACTGGTTTCACCCTTGTGCGATTCCTTGACTCTGATTCTGACCACAGTTTTGAAACCAGAATTCTCCCTTTCCACACTTGCTCTGTAAAAAGCAATTCCGGAGTGGAAGGGCTTTCTAGTGGACTGCAATGGTCCCTGCATCGCGACGTTGCAGCAGACATTTATGTATAGCTCGATGGAGAAACCAATCGAGATGCTGCTGGGAATCGAGTTGCTACGACAATTTTACTTTGTGTGCGGCGGCATCTGCAAAGATTCAATGGATTCTCTCCCATCCCAGTCGCTGCAGCGGCATGTGAGAGGCCACTAGATCTTTTGCTGAGGCTCGGTAAAATGCGATAAGGTGGAAAAAAAACAAGATCTTTCAAAACTAGGATTTTTCCAACATGTAAGGTGTCATGCCAAAGAGAGCCGCGAGGAGTGCATGGCTGCAGCCCTTTGAAGCCTGTTGTGTGTTTGAAGTGGCACCTGATATTCTTGGATAGCAAACATGTGCAGACAAGATTGGATACACGGCCAAAAACACAGCATTCCGACTGCTTTGGTATTTGGGTTGTTTTCACTTGTTCCTTTGAAAGGCACGACAATTTAGAGGCTCTCCAACTGGAAAGTTTGAATGCTTCCATTGCGAGTCTTTGAGCCATGTCCTGGTGGCTTCGAACAATTGAACAACCAACAACGCTAGTACTGGTGATTTTGCTTGCGCATTTTGTGGCAAAGCGACCTGCTTCTTGTCGGCCAATTTTAGTTGACTGTAGTCCACCAGTGATTTTTGACGAACTGCCTGTGGAACAACTATCCCTGTAGATTGACAGGGCACGAGGCTCACAAAGGCATTAAGTTTCCTCTTCTGCGTGTCAGAGAAAAGGTGTGATCGTAAGTTGTAAGCCATAATTTCAGACTAGCTGTGGCAATATCTGGCAATATCAACAATTCTGTTTTCTTTCATACCGTTTCAGACCTGATCCTCTGCTCGAGGAACTGTTGGGCGTAAAGAGCAACTGGAGCAGTGCTCAAGAGCCTCTGCCACTCCTGTTCCTTGCCATTTGCTATGGTCAATCCTTTGGCAAAAGCTTCCATTTCAGTTTCACTGAAAATAGGACCCCCTTAATTTCATGGTCTATCTGTCTGTCATCATTTTCCCTACAGATTGCCATTTCAGGGGTACACCCGCTATAGTCGCTATAGCCACCGCAGGTTCCAACTCCTCTCTGAGCCTTTGCCACGGAGCTCTGCCTACGACTCTCTTTACAATGGCCTGGCAGCACGCAAACAGAGGCATTTTCATGAAGAGTAGAGCTGGGTAAAGCAGGTGTAAAGAAAGGTAACATGCGACTTCTATGAAGCACTTGAGATACTTGAGATACTAAGCTTGGAGTCTGGTAGTTTCTTGGCCTCGGAGGCAATGCATCTTGCCGGGTGACTCGCATGCCCTGCATGACTTATTTGGACGGCAACAACTTCTTTCCAGCTGCGAAGCAGAGGAGGAGCAACTTTGCAGCACAGGCCAAGCGAGGTGCTAGTGACTTTGGATCCACAGCCGCGTCATTGCTGAGTCATGCTGAGTGCTGACAGTCATACTAGCTGATCTAGCTGGAGTAACAGGCCAAGGTATTAAGCAGGTTACAAAGAAAGCCTAACGAGTTCAGGGTCTGAAATCACTGTGCTCCAAGGTATTTTGGATTATGGTTGGAGCCTCAAAGTTGCAGTGCCAAGATGATTGAAAATGGCAACATAGCCTGCGAATCTCAAGCGATTTGCACAGTTGTTTCCTCAGGCACCGTCTGGTGAGCAGCGTCCAGCAAGCTTGGTTCCAGCTCAGCCAGCGCTGGCGGCCGTGGTTGACAGAGGTCGCTGCTCAACTATCGTAACATTTGTTTATTTGTAATGACTGAAACTTTCATATTTACATTACATAATTTCATATGAACATGTGATATGTGTTATATATTTTCTGTTCAGTTATGTTCAGTTCTTAAAAGTGAAAGATGTGAAAGAGTCTTGGAGACGTTTCGGGACTTCAGGAGATCGTGGTGGAGGTGCTGAATCAACAACGCCATTTTGCCAACTTGGGCCTTGCTGCCTTGGAACTTCAGCCTGCTACGCACGCAGATCCTTTGGCGAAGGTGAATCTCCTGGTCTGATGTACAGTGTGTACAGTGTTTGTCTTGAAAGAATTGGTGAACACAATCCTGTCTTGCCTGTATCATGATTGCGATACGTCTCTTCACTGTCCACTCAGATTGCAGAGAGCAGCGCTTGAGTGCTGTCCAGTTTATATTTTTTTTCAGCTTTAGAGAAAGTTCCATGCAGGCTGTCTGGTCCATCAACAACCACTCTCGTCCGAGCCTTGATCTGGCAATATCTCCCATTTCAAGATGTGGGTCACACACTTGAACAGTTTGCTTGAACAGTTTGGGATCGGAGAAGAGAACAGCAGAAGAGACAGCAAAGACACATTGGAATACATTTGAGATCATTTGAGTCATTTTCCCAGCTGTCTCTCGTGTCGTTTGGGTTGGGACGGTCTGGAGGTGTCTGGAGTCTGGAAGTTTCCCTGTCGTTTTGAATCTTCGCATGGCCACAATGCTCGAGCTTGAAAGAGTTGTGAGTTGAGTGAGTTGAGTTGGACTGAGCCCACTGAGCCCGGTCTCACGGTCTCAGTGTCAAGTCGTGTGAAGCCATGGCTCCCAACGACATGCATCCATCACAGGCACCAGCAGCATGCCATTCAACCTGCTGTTATATGGGGACTGAAACATGGTACCCCGGTTACCCCTTTCCATAAAATGTGGTTCATCATCATATCCCCAATATCCCCAGCCCATGTGTTATGGCTGTAGTTATGGTATGGTTTTCTTGAGGGCTTGATGGATCGCATGCAAATCCCGCCACCATTGCTGCAGCTGTTTGCAATTGTGAAGGTAGCTGGGATGCACTATGAGGCCAGCGGGGATTGTGTTCCTTCCAGAGCAAACATGATGAAGTAGCGATGCAATGCCCCAGCGGCCTAGCGGCCTAGCGGCCTAGCGGCCTAGCGGCCTAGCCTAGAGAATTGATGGATTTTTGAATCTTTTTTTTTGATGTCCGGGTCCCGGGTCGCCCGTGGCTTTCAGGGCGAGAAGTTCCACAGCGCTCGGGGAACAGGTGCGATCTCCAAGAACCTTCCCCTGTCGGAGGCGCTGCGGGATCTTTGGTCCTTGGAGTGCCAAGATGGGCTGAGGCTTCTGAGGACGTCGACAGATTTTGACAAAGTGGTAAGGTAAGAACACATTATGACTCGACTGCAATCCACACGAACATGAACAGGAGGCAGCAAGGACATATTTTTTGACATTGAAGATATTGAAGGATTCAAGATGATCATGAATAATGAGAAAAATGATGAACAGTGCATAATCACCATCGTCTCATGACATATTCAGTTTTCACCTGAAGTTGCGGACATGCCGTGGCAGGTGAACCGACACTGTATCCCGGAAGACTGTTGGGTGGCTCTGAATGGCAAGGCCATGAGATTAGAGTTTCCATGTCTCATGAAGCTCGATGCGTCTGATTTCTTGTGCTCAGTGTTCGGGCTAGAGTCGCTAGCTAGAGCTCAGTTGGCCACAGCAACCGCCACAACCATCGCAACGCGACAAACGACAAAGATCGACAAAGCATGTCTCAGATCCTTCGTTTGATCCGTCTGATCATCTGATCATCTGATCCCCATATTTTCTCGTCCCCGTGAGGTCTACGACTTGTCCGAGTTCATGGACCGACATCCAGGGGGCCCCACCACCATCCTGGCCTGGGCCGGCAAGGATGCCTCAAAGTTTTTCAACGAGATTCACAAGGGCGTCAAGAGCCATGGCTTTCCGACATCAGATGCCCCAACTTGAGAAGTGTCGAGTTCTTGTAAATGAGGTAGGGAAGTTACGACTACTAACCCTGTCGAAAAAACATGCCATCAAGCTGTCTTGTTTAGACACATTTAGACACTCTGCATCTCTAGAAGTCTAGAAGTAAAACGACGTAGAAGTCTAGAAGTAAAACGAAGTGCAGGCCTCCTTGAGGTACAAAGGAGTTAGGAAAGCTCAGAGCTGATCACATGGCCAAAGATTTTGCTTGTGCATCCAAAATGGAATTAACAGAAGAAGAATTGCGAATACCAAGTGCAAGTAGAAATGGCTGGAGGCATCCAGTCCATTTGACCTAACCGGCTTCCTAGAATGTTTAGCTATCAGAGAAAGAGTCAGAGGAGGAAAAGGGAGGAAAAGGGAGGAAAAAGGGAAACTTTCTAGGGATCGCGGGTTTAAGACATTTATCTAATTTGTATTATCCTTGAAGAAACATAGGATAAAAACGCTGCAGGTTGAAAATACATGTCAAATATGTCAATAATCAAGATTCTTCAAACGCAAGTTTCCCAACTTGATGGAGAGCACCGTGGAACATCCAGAGGGACACGCCAAGGATTGATTCCTACTTGCGCCCGGAGTCCTACTTGGGTGACCTTGGTGTGGATGAGAGCCTGATGTCCGAGGAGTTCTGGCACACTCTGAGGGAGGCATTTTATGGATGGGAAAGCGGAACGTGGTGAACGCTTTGATGCAACCCTTATTTTTTCTCCAGCTACTTTCAATGACTGCTCATAGAAAGGAACTCGGAAGAAGGAAGGGGAAAAAGGAAAAACCGACGATTTCTATGTTTTTTTTTAAACTTCGGCACCATTGTTTCTGTGCCCTGGCAGGCACGAATTGTCGAAGTTCGTGAAGAGATTGACCGGGTGCTCAGCCAAACAGCAGACAACTTCCACAAGGCAGACAGCATCCCTCGTCTTCTGCAAGACAAGCAGCTTGACAGAATTGGCTGATTTCATGTGATTTCTTGTTTCCTATGGCAAATGCAGCTAGCTCTTTTATGCTTTTCTCCTTTTTTCTCTCAGCTTTTCTCACCCTTCTGCCATTCGGTGGATTTTGAATAGACTGATCATCTGATCCATTACATGCACAAAAAGGGATTTTGAATGATTCTGATGTCATTTTGATTTGCCTTTTGATTTATCGTGATGGTATGGTTGTTTTGCCATTTGCTGTGCCACGTCTTGCCATGTCTTGCCGTGCCTTCTGCGGAATCAGGAAAACAGATCCTCAGCTGAAAACCAAACTGCAGCGTCTCGAGACTCAGAAGCGAGCAGCTTTGGATTCCGAGGCCGGTCATATTCCGTCGACATGGCATGGGCAGAGTCTTGTAGTGGTCCATGTCACGTGGTCTCCAGCCTCGATTCATGCACAGATTGATGATGTTTGATTCATTTCAGGGGTGTTTCGGGGGCCAGATGTTTGTAGATTGTTTCGCGTATCTTTGTAGCAGGGATAGGAATCAGAAAACAGTTGGCACAGCTGTTCCATTAACGCTTGCAGATTCCAAATCACGCCCTATTTCGCCTATTTTCCACTCGTAGCACTTTTCCCTGCCAACTTTTTCTTCCAACTTCATTTGGAACGTTTTGGTCTGTCACCTGTGGTTGAAAGGACTACGTCAAAGCTATGGATGTGAAGAAGGAGATCGAGAGGATCCTGGCTGACCAGGCAGAGTCCTTATTTGTCAAGATTAAATTGTCAAGACTTCCGATGAGTCCAGAATCTGGAATGATCTTTTTGACTCTTGGAAGTTTCTTTTCGACCAGCTTCCCCTCTCTCTCCCTCTCCCTCTCCCTCTCCCTCTTGCTCCTTGTCATCTTGTGGCAAGTTGCCGCCATACTGGACCACCTACCAAGGCTCATGCGCACTTGCACGACGTGCCGCTGGACATTCCCAACGTCAGCGGCGGAATCCCTTTGTCGGAGGTGGCACGACACAACAAGCCACATGACTGCTGGATTGCCATCAACAAGACCGTGTATGACCTGACCGATTTTTTGCTTCATCATCCTGAACAGCGCAATTCCATCCTTGCTTGGGCGGGCAGAGATGCAAGTCCTATGTATGACAAGATCCCAGGTCGCTTTCCCAGCAAGCAGTGGATGGATTTCTTCATGCGCTCGGAATGGAAGATGGGCGATGTTGGCACCGAGCCACCAAAGGATCCTGCGATGGAACAGCTGAAGCAACTTCACGATGAGTTGCGTAGGCTTGAGGGTCCATCCAAGGAGGACATCGAGGCTGCCAAGACTGCTGTGAAGGTGCCAGGCAAGACCGATGCACCGACACTGTCCGAGGAGTCACGTTTCCCCAAGTTGGCGGAGATCTCTGCCAGAAAGGAGCTGCCTTTCTTCACTCGTGCAGAAGTGGCCAAGCACACCACAGCCGACGAGCCCTACATGATCATTCACAACCGTGTCTACAATCTGAAGCCTTTGATCGGAAGTCATCCAGGAGGTGATGACATTCTGTTGACCAAGGCAGGTACCGATGCCACCAAGGACTTTGAAGTCTTCGAGCACTCAGAGAAAGCACGTGTTCAACGTGATCGGGACATGTTGGTTGGTCAGTTGGTGCCGGGTGAGAACACGGATTGGTCTGCTGAAGCCACAGTAGCCCAAGTTGTGGGCGAGGAGATATCTGAAGTGGGCCGATACATGAAGTACAAAGTCACCGACGTGGCCGTTGCAGCAGTGGGATGGTACATCTACAAGACCTTGCAGAACACCAAGCCCCTGTCACAGTTCACCTACAGCCGAGCCTTGCGCCATTTGCATCTCATCATGGCCGTTGGTATCTTCGGTGCTGTTGGAACTGCTCAGGCGGCCTCATACTCTGAAGGACAGACCCGCAAGCAGATGCTGTGGTGGCACAAGCAGACTGGTCTTGCCATGCTCTTTGCTTTGGTGGTTCGTTTCTTCCTCCGAATGAAGAGCGGAATTCCGCCACGATTCCCTGGACATCCCATGATCCAGATGTTGGAGACTCAGAGTCTTCGTGCCTTCTATGTGCTTGCTCTTCTCTTGCCAGTGTCTGGCATTGCCAACGAGTACTTCTTGAAGTGGGCACCAGGTTCGGACAAGACTGGCAATGCAGAGGATGACAAGAGGAACGACCGATTGGCCAAGCAGTCCATTGATGCGCACAAGTTGCTGGGCAAAGTCCTTCAATGCGCGTGGCTGCCATTCCATCTTGGCTACACCACCTTCTACCACTGGACCCAGGGACGCGGTGTCGTCAGGAAGGTGTCTCCCTTTATTTGAAGATTCAACGATCTCCCTGCTCCTTTATTTTCCATCGGAGCAGTGAACTAGGGCTCTGTAGAGGGCAGCATACCAAGTCAGGTGCAACATTTTGGGTATGAACTGCCAGAGATTTTTGAACCGCACCGTGTTGCGATGAATTAATCCTCCATAGCGAACACATTCCTCTTCCATTGCGTCCTTGTGGACTGCGGATGAGTGAGAAGACGAGTGGGAGCATCCACGGAGATGGCACCTGCTTTGCATGTAGACCGCTTCGAGGGGTTTGACTCATTTGACGTTCCAGCGTTTCAAAAGAACTTTAAAAAAGTCAAGGCAAGTTTTGGGAGCCTGATGAGGGCCCATGCCGTAACTGCTCGATGGATAGTGGATCAAAACTGGCACACGCTGTCATTGAGTGAGGTCCTGAAGCTCAAGTAGCAAAGGACAGACTCAAACAGAGCTGTGAAGAGATCTTAGAGATTAGACTACTTATTTTTGACTGCATCTCTGGGATGTGAAGCAGAGCTGTTCAGATTTGTTAGCACCTTTCAAATGTTTCAAGTTGCAGTTCTTGTTGAATCTTGTTGCAACGTGAGGAGCTCCAGATCAGCGTTGAGGCTGTATCGTGGTTACGGACGTATGGCTCTGAAATCGCCGAGGCAGTAGATGACATCTTCACTGCACAGGCCTTTAAAGATGGGATTCAGATTGGGAGAGCTTGGTTCAAAAGGTTAAAGGATTCCTTAAAGCCTTAAAGGAATGTTATACAATATTATTATATATATATGCATATATATTGAGCTGGCCGGTTCTTGGACTTCTTTGTCGGGGACCAGGCGGACCTCTACCTGCTCGGCTTGGGAACTACAGGTGGTGTATGTCATCCTTCTGGCACCTCATCCTGGTCTTTGCCCTGGTGATCCTCCCGGCCATCGGCGACGGCAACCACTACACAGAGGAGAGCATCGCGCAGAAGGCGCGCGCTGGCTCGGAGAGCCTGGTTCTTGCATCGGACTGGCAGGTCGCCACTCAATTCGAAGCAGTTGGGAGGGATCTTCAGAACACTGCAAAGACACCACTCAAGAGACAGGTCGTTCCTGCGCCGGATTGCAGACGCAATGGCCTCATCCCAGTCGACGGGGTGGCTCTGTGGCACGTGCCGCAAGATGAAGTCGCCGAATGCCTGGTACTGCGACCTATGTGGCAACTCGTGGGAAGACTGTGCGGTGCCCACGGCCAACCAGAGCAGTTCCACATGGGCGCAGTCACACGGAAAACAAAGAGAGAAGAGCCAGAAGCAAAGGAGACCGAGATCGCGCAAAAAGAACCACCAATGGGAACAACAATCAACCTATGGCCAATCGAGTTCATGGGGAGGCGGACCATGGTCTACGGCGTATGCTACAGACAAAGGACAGGGCAAAGGCGGGCAACAGATGCAAATTGCCTCCCCGCCACCGCCACCTCCTCCTATGCTGGCGCCAACTCAAGCGCAATGCCATGCACCATGGATGCCACAGCAGATGCCTCATCAGATGCCCCACATGAACATGATGCCTTTCATGCCGCCTCAGCTGGATCAGCAAGTGATGCAAACTGTCCCACAGCAGTCTGCCATGACGCCTGCGGATCTGGAAGACTACAAAAGGGAGATGAGCGCGCAGACCAAGTTGAACAAGATCATGAAGGCGGCCAAGAAAGAGGATCATCTGTCCCCGGAGTTCCAGTCATTGGTTGCAACAGAACGAAAGAAAGACGACAAAGAAAGCACCAGCAACCTTCTGGCCGCGGTGAAGGCACATGGAAAAGCAAAAGAAGCGCTCATGGAGGTGGAAAACTCACGCATGCAGCTGTGGTCGCAATGGCGTGTATTTCTTCAAGCCTCTGTGACAAAGTGGAAGGAATACACTGCACAGTTTCAAGCATCCGAGACTGCCTTTCAACATCAAATGCAGAGTGCCACATTAAATCTGAGGAAAGCCCAAAAGAGAGTCGACCTTGCCAAAAAACGTGCAGATGCAGTTGGCAAGGACGATGAGCCACAGGAGATCTCCGACGACGACTTCGACGAGAACGAGCCCGACATGCAGGACGAAACCGAAGTGCCCAGAGACGAGAATGCTCAACGCATCTCCGAGGGACTCCATCAAGTCGTCACGAGCCTCTCAAGTCTCTCAGAGTCCGCGGAGAAATTGGAGCCGAAATCGAAGAGACCAAGAACCAAGGAAGAAGAAGAAGCCCCTCCTGGCTCACGGGCAATGCAGCCTTTTGGCATGGCCGATGCTTCATGACTGAAGTGTATGATCATCAATGGCCACAAGCACAATGTGACCCACGTGCTGTGCAAATGCACTGGGGGCACTCGATATTGAAAGAAGTGAACTTCACCTCACCGTGGAGCGCAGTGGAAAGAGCTACTGAACTGGCGTGGGAATTGGGAGTACCATGTTCAGTGCGAATAGACTCTCTGACACTGCCATCTCAGAGAGGAAAGAAAAAGAATGGCCAGAAAGTCACCTTTGAGGATTGCGACAACAGCTTTGATGGGAGTGTCGAGCTGAAGGAGTTCCTGCCCGATGTCAAGCACCTCGAGGATGACCGTATGGCGCCAGTTCCCATGACTATGCCCAAAAGGCCTCTGTCAGGTCAATCAACTGACACAGGCCGCAACCTAGCACCGAGAGCAGCATCAAGCAGCCAGAGTCACAGGCATTTCTTGGACAGAATATTACCTGACGACCTGCCTGCCTACATCCACCATCTCCAGATTTACTGGAGGGACGAGATGCTCCGACTTCCGGATGGCCATCAACATCGCTTGAGATCATGGTATATCCATCATATCCATCAACGCCAATGCAGAGTACCTAGAGATGTCACCCTCACACAAGACCCCGCGTCATGGCACCAAAGACTCCTTGCAGTTTGGCGAGACCAAATCCACAATGATGAACCCTTGACTATTGCAGTTGTTTATCCTCGAGTCAGAGATCAAGATACAGACAGACCGACACACGCTGATGTGATGCTGATTCAAGGACGACAAGAAGGTGCACATGATCTGCGAGGAGGAGTCACAACGGTCTACTTGCCTGGGAGTGACCAACACTACATCTGGGCGGCTTCGTATGCACGCCATCTTAGTGGAGTTGGTATATTGGAGGGAGTTGATGCAGCAGACCTCCTTCAGACCCACGCTTGCGATATCTTCCATGGAGGTATTGCAATTCCTGCTACCACTACCCCAGTGCATTGGACGATGAATGGCAATTCTTTTGTCGCAGTCTTCCACGACCTTACAGGCTCAAGGGTGACATCAGCGTCGTCAGCGTCTTCCACAGGACCAGTTCTTGCTCCAGTTGAAGCCACAACAGAGGAGAGCGAGCTCCAGCTGCACGAGGAAGGAGGTGAAGAAGAAAGTCCCAAAGCCTCCAGCTCAAGTCTTGATGAGGAAGAACTACAAGGTCTTCATGTTTTCCGCCTTGGACATCCAGGACATCATTGCTTTGTGCGTTGGAGATCGTACAACATGATACTGTTTGACGTCCTACATTCCATTGGCATTCATAGAGACAGAGCTGTTGGATTTCACTATGTGCAAGCACCTCTTGTTGACCAACATGAAGCAGAAGAGACGATCATTTTGCAGTTAGTTGGAGACATACCTGGCGGATCGGCAGACAAATTGGTCCTCATCGACATCACTTACCACACTACAGGTTTGGCAGATGCACATCAAAGGATTGTCAGACGCATGCCAAGGTTTCTGAGCAGGCCATCCCTGATCGTACAGCTCCATTTGCAAGCTCCGTGTGAAGAAACACCTGGTTCATGTACTTTCTACTTCAACAACGAGGAGTGGAACGAGGATGATCTCTTCCCACGGGAACTGCAACATGGCACATATCTCAAGATTGAAGTCACTGCCGAGTCGCAGAAGCAAGAATGTCCCCCACAACATGTTCCAGACAAAGCGAAGCAGAAGGGACCTGATACACCACACATCCATGGTCCTGACCACCATCATGAAGCGACCTCCTTCATGCAGAGTCCACTGCAACATCAAGATCAGCGCCGGGGCCCAATGAGCCACAGCGCAACGTTCCCCAGTCTTGCAGGACGCCTTACAGTTGTCCATGGAGAAAGTCAACACCAAAGCAAGATTGTACAAGAACAAGCCCCAAATTGGATGCATCCAGCGAAAATGACATTCTTGGAGTGTGCTGCAGTCGAATTTGATGACGAAGGCCCGGTGTTATATTGGCAGACATGGTTTCTCCATCACCAACGATATACCCGGAGCTTTGAGTCTCGCACCTTGCGCCTTGATGCTGCACACAAATTCTGGTTCCAGGAGATTTGTGACCTCTGGGCAGATGCCATGGATCCTCATCTACCTGCAAGAGTTGCTTTTGTTCATCCAAGGCCACCAATGTCTGACAATGACCAGCACGTGGGACATTTGATCCTGGTGCAGGGCCAAGGCAGGGAACTTCCTGTCCTTATGACTGCGTTGTTTGACCACCCACTTCATCGTCGAGTATGGCACCTCGCAGCACTTCAGCTGGAATATGTTGAACCAGAGAATGTCTTTGACGATCTGGGCATTGCAAGATGGTGCAACAGGATACACTGCCGTATTCACATTGGAGAAGTTCCATTTGGCCAACATGAACTTGTACATTTACAAGGAGGAGACAGCCTGGTCATCACTATCCCGAGCGTACAGCGGAGTGCTGGAACAGAAGGGATATCTCTCATGCAAAGAACAATGAAGATCAAACCAAAACAGCTCATTCAACACATGCAGACGGGGTCTGCTCCAAACCCAACTGGAGTCCAAGCATGTGGAGGATTCCAACTGAATCCTGCAGCGACGCCTTTTGATCCCAACCGACCTGACTTGCGGGCACTTTCAGAGTTCGAGGCAGACCTCTGGATTCAATGGGACCAAGAAGCCTTTGCATGGGAAGACGAGGAAAGGTCATGTACCATCCTTACATGGTTCATCGACCACACATGGCACTGGCCGCATTGTGATCACCCACGCCGACTACAGCTTTATGAGGACCATCGGCAATGGGAAGCGCAGATCCTGAGGAGATGGCAAGACGTTCGAGACCATAGCTCACCTTTTGAGCTTTATGTGGTTGACCCGAGACCACCAGCACTTGACAATGACATTGCGGCGCATGTCCTCATCATACAGAAGCCCTTCGCCGCATGGATCACAAATCTTGCCACCATTTTTGACTCGACACAAGGTCAACACCAGCCTTTTGGTCAGATTGCCATCACCACACATGAGCACGTCCGAGTTGAAGCAATTCTGACAGCTACATCGCTCGAACGAGTCTGTCTCTACCAATCGGCCGTGCTCAATTGTCAGGTTTGGTTCCAAGGAGTACAGCTCCCACCAGGCGTCCTTTTCCCTGGAAGAAGTGGCACTGGAATTGAAATTTATCTCTGGCCGAAAGCACCTACAGCTCCTCAAGCGGAAGGACACGGACTTTTACAAATCCCAAGCAGAAGACGCAGAGAGGAAGAGCGCCTAACAGGCAGCGTGGTGGCTCAAGCCTGCCGGCCTTCCCCTGTTACACTTCAGCTTTCCAGCATCATTGAGGAAGAGGACTCACCAATTGCACAAGAACACACATGGGGAGTCAAGCTACAAGCAGGACACCCG